AGTTAAAAAAAAAAAAAAAAAAAAAAAACCGACCATGAAAACTTTAAATTTTACCTAATTTTTCAATAAAGTCATCAATAATAAAGCAATTTGAGAGTGAACTAAAAGCTATTTTTAAACCTTTTATTTTTCTTTTGTATAAATAAATAAATTCAAAATTACAAAAAATACATTTAATTCTTCATTTACTATCCTTTGTCCCTTAAAATCATATAAATTTTCACGACAATTATATTTTTTTCATATTTAACACGTCATTAAATAATAAATTTTAAAGAAAGAGGGACACAGAAAGTCCCGAGCATAGAAACAAAAAAAAAAGTGAAGGAATTAGAATCATATACAGGTAAAAAGGTAAAAAGTGAAGTTAAATAATGGGTCATTTTCATCCATAGGTACGTTCCTTATCCACGACTCTTTACCCTATTTCATGCCCTTTAAGTTTCGGGTTGGATTGAATGTGATTGGAATTTATATATACAAATAATTGCGAAAAAGTTGACGCCCTAACTCCCCCAAGTGATCGTCTCCCATTTTCCATAACAAAAGTAGGGCCATCCCTATCTTCACTTCCATATAATGTCAAAAACAAAATCGATTAATTTAGTTATAATCATGGTTAATTAACTTAATAACCAAGATAAAGATTTTTCAAATCTTATAGGTTTTGACTTTATTAAATTATTAATATTCCACTAGGTTTTTACACTTACCTCTACTTAGGTTAGATATTAAAAGATTCCACTAGATTTTTACGCTTAACTTACATATTCGACTGAGATTTTACGCTATTTAAAGATTATAAACCTATACATAAAAGACTTTTAAACTGTTGAAGATTATTATTCAGAATGAGTCCCACATTGGCTAATTCAGTGGAAGATCACATGTTTATAAGTGAGGAATACTATCTCTACTTTAATTAGACATTTTGGGGAAGCCTAAAGTAAAGTCATGAAGCCATCGTATGTTTTAAATATTTAATTAATTGTTATATATATATATATATATATATTAATTTTAAAAATTTAAATAAGAAAGAAAAAAAAGAAGTTGAAGGGTAAAAATGGAAAGAGGGAGAGGGGCGCGTCATTGTCATCCTCGTGGCGTAGTTCCCAAAAAGCGATGCCCCTCACTTGAGGCTGTAATCTGTATGGAAGACCAAACCAAAACGCACCGTTTTGCCCTTCATTCTCTCTCCTCCAATTCCTTTATAAAACCCCTCTCTCTCCCTTTCCCTCTCTCTTCACTAATTCCCATTTCTCTCTCTCTCTCTCTCTAAAAGCAGAACGATGTGTCGTTCGGAGCAGGCCTTGGAAGCCACCTCTGTCGTCGTTGATTCCAAATTCACCGCCCGGCCCGTCCTTCAACCCACCTGCAACCGTGTCCTCGACCGCCGTAATTCCCTCAAAAAACCCCCTTCTGCCGCCGTCTCCCCTACCTCCCCCAAGTCCAAATCGCCGCGTCCTCCGGCCACCAAGCGAGCCAATGACACTAACCCCATGAACTCCAGCTCTGACAAGATTCTAATTCCGGCCGCTGCTCTGTCTCGCCCCAAGGCTGCCTTGGATAGGAAGAAATCAAAAAGCTTCAAATTGGCTGGAAATGGGAATGTTGTGATTTGTGATAATGTTGCAGGTGGTGGCGGATTTGAGGTTGCGTCCTTGAGCTACGCTTCTTCTTTGATTACTGACTCGCCGGGAAGTATCGCCGCCGTGAGAAGAGAGCAGGTGGCTCTGCAACAGGCGCAGAGGAAGATGAGAATTGCCCATTATGGAAGATCTAAATCTGCCCGGTTTGATAAAGTTGTTCCTCTTGATTCTAAAATTAAACCCGCCGTTGAAGATCGGAGATGCAGCTTCATCACTCCCAATTCAGGTACCAATTATGTTTTTTTTTTTTTTTTAATTTCCCCTGTTTATGATATTCATAAATTAAATTATCTCTTTCCCTTTATAGATCCCATTTATGTTGCTTACCATGATGAAGAATGGGGCGTCCCTGTTCATGATGACAAGTGAGTCTCTCTCTCTCTCTCCGACTCTCTTTTTCTCTCTGTCTCTCTCCGCCTCTGTTTCTCTCTGTCTCTCTCTCTCAGACTCTGTTTTTCTCTCTGTCTCTCTCCGCCTCTGTTTCTCTCTGTCTCTCTCTCCGACTCTGTTTCTCTCTGTCTCTCTCCGCCTCTGTTTTTCTCTGTCTCTCTCTCCGCCTCTGTTTTTCTCTGTCTCTCTCTCCGCCTCTGTTTTTCTCTGTCTCTCTCTCCGACTCTGTTTCTCTCTGTCTCTCTCTCCGACTCTGTTTCTCTCTCTCCTCTCCGACTCTGTTTCTCTCTCTCTCCCTCTCCGACTCTGTTTTTTTTTCTCTCTCTCTCTCTGACTCTGTTTCTATCTCTTCTCCATCGGATTAAAGTAAAAGTTAATATAATTAAATTAAGTTTACTATATAATCCATGAATTTGAGTACTGAATTCTGGAATTGAACACAGAATGCTGTTTGAATTGCTGGTTCTAAGCGTGGCCCAGGTGGGTTCGGATTGGACTTCAATTTTGAAGAAACGCCAAGATTTCAGGTACCAAAAACAACAATTTCCATCAAATAATTCATTTTTGTTCTTACTAATTCACTAATTTAATTAATGTTCTTCGTTGCCCAGAAATGCATTTTCAAGTTTCGTTGCAGAAACGGTGGCCATTTTTTCCGACAAACAGATGCTATCAATCAGCTCGGAATACGGCATAGACATTAACAGAGTCCGAGGAGTCGTCGACAACGCTATCCGAATCCTCGAGGTAAATGAGAATTAAATATTTCAAATCAAAACCCATCGACTTAGTGGTCAACCCCAATTAATTAATATTTTTAATTACAGATTAAGAAGGAGTTTGGATCATTCGACAAATACATTTGGGGGTTTGTGAACAACAAGCCGTTTTCACCGCAGTACAAATCCGGCCACAAAATTCCGGTGAAGACATCAAAATCAGAGACCATAAGCAAAGACATGATCAGACGAGGTTTCCGGTCGGTCGGACCAACGGTCGTCCATTCCTTCATGCAAGCCGCCGGTCTGACCAACGACCATCTGACCAGCTGCCACAGGCATCTCCACTGCTCCATAACCGCCGCCGACCGTCGCGCTCCGGCGGTGGTAGTGGAGGAGACAACGACGGCGTCTGAAACTCTATAGAATTGATTGGAGAATTTAATTAACAAGACAAAAAGAAAAAGTGGTAACCTTTACGAGGAGTCAGTCGATCAACGATGATTTGCTTGCTAATTAACTAGATAACCTTTTTTTGTTTTTGTTTTTTTGTGGGGTTTGTGTATATTAATGTCTATATATAAATAGACTTGTAAGTGAGAGAGAACAAAAAAAATTAAAGAAAAAAAAGAGATTGTGGGGTTGTGAATTAGTGTGGTTTTTTTTTTTTTTTTTTTTTTTTG